CTTATTGCATTTATGTACCGCCTTTTTTGCCAAGGCATCTCACCAAAAGCTTGTGAGTGTCCCTGAAGTGATCCACCCTGTTAGTAAAAATTGCTTGTTGCCAGTCACAGCTTCCGTTCCTAGGCTGAGTGGCAGCTTTGCCAGATGATTTTCAGTGGGGCCATGGTGCAGGCTAAGTGTATTTGAGAGAAAAGATCAACTCCTTTCCTATGTACTGCAGTTTTGCTTCTGATCAGGCTCTCCCGGGGCTAGAACAAAGTACGTGAATTGCAATCATGCATTTTGTGCTTCGTCGAAGTTTGGCTGGGGTGGGTATGCATCTCCCAAAAAAAAAAAAAATGCATTATCCCATCCCAAAGACAAAAGAGGGTGCATGCCTGCATATAATTTGTATAGATGCAAATATAGAAAAATTTACTACAATTTAATAGAAATGCAGGATATCTCATCATAGTGAAGATTAGGTCCTGGTGACCTTTGTGCCTTCCCCAGTCTGCTGTCCAGGTGCTGAGTTTTGATGGGCATCTTAAAAGCTCTTGCTCTCTCTAATTATGTTTATTTTTATTTTTTAAAAAATGTTTAAATTGCTTTGGAGAAGAGAAGACTTCAAACTGAATCAGGGCACATGGCCACCTTCACTTTGGCCCTTACTCTGTTGCCAAAGTGTATATTTGGCTCAAGTCCTGTGGCTTCTATGATTCCAACAAGCGTCTGCTTCTTGCTTTGGCTGGAGTGTATTAATAGCAGGGAGATCTCTGTGCCCATGCTCTGTCTCTTTTCCATGCTTTGGTTTCCTGTATTTAACATGAAGAAAAGGGCACAGAATATCATCTCAGAAGCACGTACATTGCATGAGAAATCTTTTAACTAATGCTTCAAAAAGGGGGGGCTTCTAAATTATTGCTGCAGGTAAGCGGCAGGAAAAGGTGTGAGCAACTTGGATGGGCTTTTTCAGCCTCACTTCATGGGTAACTATCCACCATGGACAAGGTAATGTCAGAGGTTGTCCTCTCTGGTAGTCACCATGACTCCTGAATCCCTATGCACAAGTCTTTGATGCCTGGCATTGGAGAGGTTTGTAGCACTGCTGCCTTTAGCCACGCACTACTGGGGGGAACTTTCCCAGCTTAGCTCCTTTTGCAGCAAATGCTTCTTTTGATAAAAAGTCATGTTTATTACTTGCAAAAACAGCATTCAGGAGGGAGGGTGGAGAGCAGATCTACAAGTAATGTTGTAAACCCTGTCCTCCACACACTTTCTTTGCATCTCAGGTAGCAACAAGGGGGCCAGTTAATATACCTTGTAGGACTGGATTTGGCCAGGAGGCCTCCAGTTGCTGAGCCCTCTCCTTTAACATGACCGCAAGCTGTTGCTCCGCTTAGTGTAGATTTTTGTAGCAACTCCTTTTCTTTTTCCTAGGCAGCAATTTGACCCCTTCCTTTCTTGCAAAATGCCCATGCAGCTTAACAATGTGCCTTTGGGATGGAACAGCAGGATCTCCAAGTTTCTATTAAATTATCCCCGCAAGCCAGCCTGGGGTTTTGCAGACCAGCGACAAGATGCTGCGTCTGCAGTCTGTCGGTCTGTTGCGTCACATAACCAGAAACCTTCAGAAGAGCTCCTAGAATCTCCCTTTAAGGCTTGCTTCCACTTCAGGTGCTTCCTGTTCATTTTGCGCTTCAAGGAGATTCCATAACTTTTATCTGGAGGCCTGAGCGCATGTACGCATGAGTATGTTCCAGTGATTTCATCAGGACCAAGTGATGATACTGCATTTTCTAGATCTCAGCCAAAATTATTCATTATGTACATGCTGTGCGTCTCTGGACGTACTGCAGCCATAGAAGATACATTTGCAGGTCTCCCAGTGTTTGGGTGGAACATTTGCTCTCTTTGCCCAACCCAGGTGAGGTGTGTAGCTTCTTCAACAAAGGCATGGAACTTGCCAATCTCTGAAACAATGCAATGAATTTTGAAAGCTCTGCTCCATAGTGTGTGCATAATGAAGCTGGGTTCCTGTGACCACTCCCAAATTGGTAATTCATCACTAACTGTAGATAGCACTGCACTCACCCTCAACAATGTTTGGATGATCTTATCTCAGTTTATTAAGCTCAGATGTGCACAAGATCCTTGCTTATGCAAGCAGCTTCTTTGCTCCTCCCTTTGGCAGGAGGGCAGATTAAACCTGGAAGTCTTTAATTAACCACAGTTTCCTATTTCATCCAAACAGGGATACTGTGGTTTACCAGCTTCACAGCAAACCTGGATATTATACCACGCTGTAAAGTTATTTTAATATAATAGCTTGATACTCTAACCCTAGTTCTCCACTTTGAACAAAATGGGAAACTATGATTAATTAGAGGCTTCCTGTATTAATTGTAATGCACACTAAGGGTGAGGTGAAGAGGCTTCACAAACAAGCAAAAGGCTCATGCATGCTTTGACTTAATAAGCCAAGATAAGATTGAAGCAGTTCATTGTAGTCCACAGATCACGCTGATTTACTCATATATTCTCTTAGGGGCATTGGCTATTACCTACAGTGGGTTGCACCCTGATGTAAGGTGGGTTGCACCAGTAGCATCATCACTGGGGGTTTTTTTTTGTGTGTGTGTATGCAAGTTTTCTTTTTAAAAGAGAAAGTTGATAAGGAGAGATCAGAGGCCAATGGGGAGAGAGCTCATTTCACTTTAACAGGCATTGAGGAAAAGGAATACCGGTAGTTGTTTGCTACAGCTTGCAATATAGCAATGAGAGAAGCTGCAACACTCAAAATCCTCTCTTCTATGCATCAGTTAAAGATGCAAGAGCTCTGTCCTTCTTTGGATCTGATCACAAATAGAGGGGAAATTTGGACATATAAATTAAAAAAACAAACGATGGTCCCAGGTTGGTCCGATGACATCTGATAGAGGATTTTGGAGTGTGACAGAAGCCTAGTGACAAAAGGCGGGATGTTGGCATGGGGATTCCCTTACCACTGCAGTATTACAATGTCTCTTGGGAATCTTGCCTAAATTGCAAACTCGTATTAAAGCATGTAATCCTAGGCACACTGATTTGGGAATATATCCCAAGTCCCCATTCAGCTGAGTGGAACTTAAAGCCAAGTATATATGCATAGGCTCAGACTAAAACACAGGACTTTAAGACCTGTGCAAACATGTCCTTCTCGATGGGAGTCAGTGGGAAACCTCCATTCAGAAGAACCCAGCTTCTCGTCATTCCTCCCTCACTTGTTGGAGTCGTCTTCTCTGGTCTGAACACAGCAGTAAAAGAGAGGGAAAGGGAGATGTTGACAAACTGGAAGGGATTTAAAAGAAAGCTTTGAAGATTACAGAGAGTCTTAACAGGCAAATCATATTTAAAGAGACGGCTGAAGGGAAGGGTGTACCCTCAGGAGAAACAAATGATTAGCAGAAAGCATGTTGGAATTTTCAGATATTGTAAAAAAAGGATCCAAGAAGGAAGAGTGGGAGAACAAATGCTCTCTAGACTTGCTGTGGATGTGACAAAGAACAATGGGTGCGGATGATAGGAAATGATAATTAAGTTATCATTTAGGAAGTGGTGGAGCTGAGTCTATTTTGCGATGCCACACTATTCAGCATTCGGGGTGGGGTGGGGGACGACTTAACCTTACTTAGAAGAAAAAGTGGGGGGAGCGTTTCAGCCCTTATGGCTACATAGCTAGGCTTGACAGTGTGTGGGCAATGCCTAATGAAATCCCAGAAGCTGGAGGAGGGGGCTCAATTTCAGATTTCGTCTACAGGTTGAGGCTTTGGTGCCAGGCTCAGCTGCCTGTTCCCCCACCTCCGCTTGTAGAAGCAGAATGAACTATGCAAATTAAACAAAGATATGCAAAGTGGCTTAATCTATACAGACTAATCTGAATTGTGATTACTGTTATGGCTTATGTGGCAGTGGCAAATCAATGAATACAAAAGTATGAATGCCTGCTATCTATGTGCAGAATCTTCTGATTCCTCCTCCTCTTCCACACACTCTTGGGAAAAACCTTTTTAAGATTTGTGGTTTGCAAATTATGAGTTTGGCTTGCTTGGCACTATACCATGAAAGTCTGTCCCCTTCTAATTTCAGCTTTTGCCCTCTTCTGCTGCCAGGCCTTGCTTTTTAACCCCATGGTCTCCTGCAGTATCTCCAAACCACCCCTTGCCCTGGGAACCTGGAAATGACTGTAAACCACATTAAAATAAGAAGCTGCCTAATATATCAGTCCTCTTTATTGCCAGCAACACAGGGGAAGAGGGTTTTCTTTCCAATAACACATGATTTGGAAGTGAGCATTGTGTCTTTGAAGATGTGATCCCACTGTTAAGCAGTTTCCATGATTATCAAAGCAGGCTGCATGCATGCTTGTGGGGCATCTTTGTTCTTTTCAATCAGAGCCTGCTACATTTGCAAATCTTTTGACTAGTCAACTTTTTCACCAAAGCAGGCGGGATTTTCCAGAACTCTGGGAAATTAGACTGAGCGGTGCTAACTCAGCTTGCTGTCCAAGGTTTACACTCTTAAAATTCAGCCCCAAACCTGAATTTGTGGACAAAGTGAGGTCAGAAAAGGACAGTTTCGTTTATAAAATTATTTTTATAACCCCTTTCGTTCCTAAGAATGGCTCCTAAGAAAGGAGGTGAAGAAAATAAAACATTTAAAAATACTTCCTATAATATGTATGCATGTGAATATATGTGTGTTTGCACACAGAACACTTTGTCAAAAGGCAGGGACTATATATTTCTGTCCAGAAACAGTACCTGAGATTACGCTATGGTGTTAAGATGAGCTTCTAATTAGTATGCTAGTTTTTCATTTTGCTTTAGTGATAAGTTCCGGCCACAACCAAACTCAGGTTAGCCTCTGGGATAAAGTATAAACTGATATCAAAACTGTTAACTTCAAGAATCATAGAGTTGTAGAGTTGGAAGGGAATGTGAGGGTCGTCTAGTCCAACTCCCTGCAATGCAGGAATCTTTTGCCCAACAGGGCACTCGAACCCACAACCCTGAGATTAAGAGTTCCAAGCTCTACTGACTGAGCTAGTTCTTAAGATCTTTGATACTGTCCTAAAGAACTCCAGCCCTTGGGCTCACAAGCCCTTGTATGATTTTAGCCATTCTGGCTATAGAGAAGAGTTAAATAATGCAAAAGATTATAGTGTTGTGGTTTGAGTGTTGAATTATTTCCTGGGAGACCAGAGTTCAAATCCCCCTCAGCTGTGAAGCTCTTCGGGTGTAGAGAGCCAGTGTGGTGTAGTGATTAAGAGCGGTAGTCTCGTAATCTGGGGAACCGGGTTCGCGTCTCTGCTCCTCCACATTCTTTGAAGTCTCTCAGCCCCACTCACCTCACAGAGTGTTTGTTGTGGGGGAGGAAGGGAAAGGAGAATGTTAGCCGCTTTGAGACTCCTTCAGGCAGTGATAAAGCGGGATATCGAATCCAAACTCCTTCTTCTTCTTCTTCTTTGGGTGACCTTGGGCCAGCCAAGTCTCTCTCTCTCTCTCTCTTTTTATAAGATATTTATTAAGATTTTCAAAATATTACAAAATAAAAATAAAAAAGAAGAAAATACAAAATAAAAATGGTTAAAAGCAACTCAATCTTTCCATTACTTATTTTTCATTAGCTTGTTCCGGACCTCCTCACGCCTCCCTTTTTGTATTCCAGTTCGGTTTGTTGGTTCAGCAAATCCTTACCCTCTTTGTTTATCCTAGTCTTTAATCTTAAAATATTGTAACGTTAAATTTTTACCTATTAATAATCCATTTTTCATATTCCCTTATAGTATTACAGCTGAAAACCACTTAATTTCTATCCAACATCATTCTAACATTCATTAATTTTACAATATTTCTGTAGATAGTCTTTAAATTTCTTCCAATCTTCTTCCACCGACTCTTCTCCCTGGTCTCGGATTCTGCCAGTCATTTCCGCCAGTTCCATATAGTCCATCACCTTCATCTGCCATTCTTCCAGAGTGGGTAGGTCTTGTGTCTTCCAATACTTCGCGATGAGTATTCTTGCTGCTGTTGTTGCATACATAAAAAAAGTTCTATCCTTCTTTGGCACCAATTGGCTGACTATGCCCAGGAGGAAGGCCTCTGGTTTCTTCAAGAAGGTATATTTAAATACCTTTTTCAATTCATTATAGATCATCTCCCAGAAAGCCTTAATCCTTGGGCACGTCCACCAAAGGTGAAAGAATGTACCTTCAGTTTCTTTACATTTCCAACATTTATTATCGGGCAAATGATAGATTTTTGCAAGCTTGACTGGGGTCATGTACCACCTGTATATCATTTTCATAATATTCTCTCTTAAGACATTGCATGCCATAAACTTCATACCTGTGGTCCATAACTGTTCCCAGTCAGCCATCATTATGTTATGTCCAACATCTTGTGCCCACTTAATCATAGCAGATTTCACCGTTTCATCCTGAGTATTCCATTTCAACAGCAAGTTATACATTCTTGACAAATTCTTAGTTTTGGGTTCTAACAGTTCTGTTTCCAATTTTGATTTTTCCACCTGGAAGCCAATTTTCTTGTCCAAATTATATGCCTCCATTATCTGATCAGCCAAGTCTCTCTCAGCTTGACCTACCTCACAGGGCTGTTGTGTTAAAATTGGAGTGTGGGAAGAGCCATGTATGTTGCTTTTGCTAACTTGGAGAAAAGTTGGGACATCAATGCAATAGTAAAACAAAATAGCAAAATAAATATGTCAGCACTGGATAGCTCTGTAGGTTAGAGAATGGTGATGATAATGCCAAGGTTGCAAGTTTGATCCCCATATGGGACAGCTGCATATTCCTGCATTGCTGGGGGTTTGACTGGATGATACAATTCTATGATTTCATGTTAACATTTGTCATTAGAGTAACCAACTTCACTAACAACACAGAGAAGGTGGGAGAAGGAGATGGGGGTGCTAGCATTGCCCTGTCTCCCTCCTTGAGTTCAGGTGGGAAGCACCTGCAGTGGGGAGCCTGCTCCATTTGTTTCGTGTTCCTGTGCGTTGCCCCACCCCCAACTTGTGAAGGGCAGTGGGGGGCAGAGCTAGCACACTTCTCTCAAACTTTCCCATTGTGTGCTGCTTTAACCAGGAAGATAGATGCCTCAAAAGGGCTATGAATGATGTACACATCCACATTTTGTGATGGCTTCATCCTGAGGCCAATACCTATTGTTTTGCTGATTTGAACCACAGATCTGAGGACAGGACCACGGCCTTGAGCTTTTGGGGGGCCTCCCTGCATAATTGCTGTATTAAAAGCTTTGACAGGTGAATTAATTAAAAAGAAAGACTACACCAGCTGAGCGTCTGGCTGTCATCTCCCATCAGCCCATGAGCATCTTTGTTGCAACACCAAAGCTGTTGCATCTCAGATTATTTTTTATTGCCAGCAGTTGAAAGGTTTGATCTGGTTCTTGGCAATTGCCCCTTATAGGGACAAACCCCTCAACTTACCATATTTCTTTCCCTATCTCCAAAGGAACGGTTAAACACCCAGTTGCCTGTATTAGACAACCCCAGTGATACCAGAAGCTTATTGTATTGAAAGTTTCAAAATCATACATACCGTGATTCAGTGATATGTGTCCTATTTCACAGTTACTTTCTAGCAAATCCCTACTCCTGGTTTTCTCTTTCTCCTCAGCCTTCTCTTATGTAAAAAATGCTGCCTCCTGCAGCGTCTGGGGAAACTTTTCCTCCCTCCCAAAGCTTTATTAACTATGAACCCACAAAATTTGGGATCCCTCCCATTTAGCAGACATGACATCAGGAAACCCATGACCGTTTCCTTCTGGAATAGGACTGGGCGATATCTGGTTTTCAACATTGTGATATATCACCAGCTAAACATTGCAATTTACGATATATCACAATGTCTGAAATAAGGATGGAGCCATGTAGAGGCATTGGCTGGCTTCATGGTTTTCCTGCATCGTGATTTTTGCTCTTATGATTCGCTGTCCCTGCAGGAGGCAGGGAAGAGCAGAGCTGGCAGAATTAACAGGGGCTGCAGGAATCGAGAGAAGCATCGGACGTATTCACGGTTTTCTTAATTGTGATTTTTGCATCGCTCACCCGCACCCACATCATGATTTGTGATATATTGCCAGGGCAAAAATCATGAAACCAATATCATGATATGGACTTCAAAACGGTTTTGGGTGATATATCAATATTTTGGCCAGCCCTGTTCTGGGGCAAACAGTGGTTGGAGAGGTGGTGGCGAGGAGGGATAATGTATTTCCCAGTGATGCACTCGGATGCAGAGCATAATCCTGAGCATCTTGACTGAGAAATGAGCCCCAGCAAGTTCAGTGGGATTTGCTTCATAGCAAGTCCGGTTAAGAGTGCAGCTCTAGAAGGCAACCCTAAGCATTCTTACTTAGAAGTCAGTCCCACTGCTTTCAGTGCTGCGTAGGATAACACCGTTAAACTCTTCCTGGTCATGCTCTCGCTGAGTCTCTTCCCTGCTGCTCCTTATTTCTGTCTGGATGCTTCTGCTGCCCCCTTTGTCCAGCTCTGCCTGCTGCCTCTGCTGCTCATCTTGCAAGTTGGTGGAGCATTTGGTGGACTGGCCCTCTGGAGACGGGCCGGCTTCAAATCCCTGCTGAGCCATGAAATGCATTGATTGGCCTTTGGGAACTTATCTTCTTAGTCTCTTAGTTCCCAGTATGTGAAATGGGAATATTAATGATCCATCCCATGGGGCTCTGGTGACGATGAATAAAGATAAGGTTTTAAAGCACTTTGCACTTCAGCAGTTTTTTATGAGTTACCTAGCAAGGGTCTGTCCGTAGGCAGCCTGCGAGTGTCAACGCACATCCTTCTAGAAGGCCCTGCACTGCATCCCTCAATTTTGGTTGGCCTGGAGCTGCTTTGAACTGTTTCCCTTCCTGACCAATGAGAAGGTTGGGGCGTTCGTGGTGAAGCTCCTGTATATTTGTGTTGAAGCTACTAATGGCTGCTCTCTGCTTCTGCTGCAGGGGAGAACTGTGAGGTGAACTCCCGCCTGGGTCGCTGCACCCCGGGGGTCTGCAAGAACGGCGGCACCTGTGTCAATCTCCTGGTGGGCGGGTTCAAGTGTGACTGCCTGTCAGGAGACTATGAGAAGCCCTACTGCCAGATGAGCACCCGCAGCTTCCCAGCCCACTCCTTCCTCACCTTCAAGGGACTGCGGCAGCGATTCCATTTCACCATCGCCCTCACGTAAGTAGCACTTGGCTTTGGGCCCGGGGGGGGGGGTGTGGAGTCCAGGGCAGAAGCTGCCATGTACCCAAACATCATTTTGCTCTTCGTAGCATTCTGGATTAGGAGGCATTGGGACACCTCTGCTGCATTTATTGCTACCTTTTTATTTTTTTAAAATCTATTTTATTTTGACATTTAGAAACCCACACATGTCACATAGTGTAGGCATAACTACACAGGGAGTAACTTGACTCACATCACCTACTGAGTGAGATCGTGGCAGAGGCAAGATTCAAATGGGATTTCCTGATTTGCGTCTCTGTTTGCCACTATTCTATGCAAGTTTTCTTTTTCTTCTTCTTTAAAAAAGCAAAACTAAAATAAATGTATTCAGGAAAATCCCAGGGAAGAAGACTGGGGGCTCAACTACACTTTTACTTGACCTGTATTTTGATTGAACCATGTACCGATTAATTCCTCCGGGTCTGAGAGCTTTTCTTATTGTTCTGTGGCTGCGCCTTGCAAAAATCCTATCCTACCCCCTGAATCAGCTCTTATCAGATGCACAGAAAATCTGAAGAGAGATTTTGCTTAACTGAGCTTCAGTTCAGTGGGTAAGATTAGATTTTTACAAGGAATACCACAGAACAAAGAAAAAAGCTCGCAGACCTGGGGAACAAATCAGTACACAGTATGATCAAAATACAGATTAAGTGAAAGTGTGGATGCTCGTTAAGGCTGTGTGTACATTAGCAGCTTAAAACACTGCTAGCTTGTTCACCACCGCGCTGCATTTGAAATCTCATTTGGACATCATTGTACATAGCAATATGGCTGGATGT